TTCCAACATATTCCAACATCATCTCAGTGTTGGCACCATTTGTCGTTTCTCATTCAAATTGGGGCCTTCTTGGCTCTTTGTGTGAATGGGCACTTTTTTTTACTGGATCCTAGGCATTTTCTATTGTGTGAGAAGATTCTGGGTCCTATTTAAAATCTTTTATTTTACTTGGTAGTTGCCCTGCTTAAATTGAGCATGTGGAATTTGTCCTACTTTTGTGGGTCTCTGCTCCAATGGCAGTTTGATGTTCGGAAGCTTTTGGTATTATCTTGGTCTTCTTTGCTAATCTGGTGGCATTCTGGACCCCACTGGTCCCTGCTGGTGCTGCCTGAAGAGACAGGAGGGGTTTTCCTCCGTCAGGCTTCCAGGTGTCTCTTGGTGCCTCCAGGTGTTCCTGTATCACTGGGTAGGGTAGGAGAGCCCTTGGCCCACAGGGACAAAGCATCTTCTGCAAGGGGCCACTGGTTCTAGCTGGGCCTCTCCTGCCTGTTCTTCCCATGCACTCTGATGTGTCTCTGCAGGAGAGGAGAGTCTCAAGCCTGCAGAGACAACGAGGCTTTCCAGATGGGCCACTGGCAGCTGTGTCCCTTTAGCAAGCTCTGCCCACCTATCCAAGTAAACATCCTCCTCTGGTGTGCTTCTTATATGCGTGGGGGCTGGGCTGTCATAGATAAACTTGACTTTCACTTGGGCATAACTATGGATCTGGTGAGCTTTCCCAGCTATTTTTTGTTGGGGCGAGCTGTCAGAGTGGCAGGATTAAGAGTTCAACTGTTGTGCTCGCTTCAGCAGCACATACACTAAAAAAAAAAAAAGAGTTCAACTGTCTTTCTGTGGCACAGTTTTCTTTTGTGGGACAGTTTTCTCTTAAGGGTAGGGGGTTGACAGTGTACTGAGTAGCCCACCTAGCACCACCTCCTTCAGTCTCGTCAATGCTGAATGGAAGCGAAGCCTCCGTCCTCCACTGGGCCCTGCTGACATTATGGGGAGGACCACTGTGGGGGCTAGTCCTGTTTCACACTTTCTCCCTTGGTCTCATGCTGTTGTATGAGTGTGGAGGTGAGGCCTCCCATTACTAACACCACAGATGGGGGAAAGCGGAGCGTGGTCTTTCCCCAGCTCTCTCCCTTTTTCATGTTCATTGATGATGGCTCTTTGTAGAGGCTCATCTTCATGCTGAATCCTGCTGACATGAGGACTCTGGCGAAGCAAACAGTGACTACACTGGCCTCACCCTTCCTGCTTAGGTTGTCGTGCTGCCTGATAGGAGTGGAGGGTCCGCTTGACACTGGACACTGTGGACACTATCCTGGTAGGGGACTCAGGGCACTGCTGCTCCTGCCCACGCATGGATGAGAGATCAGCTTTCCACTCAGTCCCTCTGATATTACCCTAGCAGGAAAATGTAAGCACCACCTGCTTCCAGAAGGAGAATGAGCTTTCCACGAAGCCTCACTGACACAGCCTCAGCAAGGAAATCAGAGCGTTGCTGCCTGCTTCCACCACGTAGGAATGGAAGGTTAGCTCCCTGGTCAGCTCTACTACTCCACTCGGCAGGGGGATCAGAGCACAGTCACTTGCTTCCATGAAGCAAGAGAGTGGGTGAAAGAGTGGCTCCCTGTTTGGCACCACTGAAATCCCAGGGGGAGGGGATGCAGTTTTTCCACGGTATATGACTGGAGCAGGACAGGTATTGTGAAAAAGGTTTTCTGTTGTTAAGCTGTGCTCTTCCCAGTCATTTGGCTGGGGCAGCGGTCGTGGGGAACAGGCTTTTCCTGGAGCATTTTTTGTCACTGTTTGTTGGAGATCCCAGGTTGGAGAGGCTTCTGTAGTGCCCTGTCTGGGATATATGAATAGAAATAAAGTCCCAAGGACTCATTGCCACGGGACCTCGGAATGTGGAGAATGACACAACAATGCGTCTTTTTTTTTTCACTTTAAGTTCCAGGATACATGTGCAGAACATGCAGGTTTGTTACACAGGTAAACATATGCCATAGTGGTTAGTGGCACCTATCAACCTGGCACCTAGGCATTAAGCCCCATATGCATTAGCTATTTGTCCTGTCCTGATGCTCTCCCTCCCTTTGCCCCCCACCACTGACAGACCCCGGTGTGTGTTGTTCCCCTCCCTGTGTCCATGTGCTCTCATTGTTCAGCACCCACTTATAAGTGAGAACATGCAGTGTTTGGTTTTCTGTTCCCGAGTTAGTTTGCTGAGGATGATGACTTCCAGCTTCATCCATGTCCCTGAAAAGGAAGGATCTCATTCCTTTTTATGGCTGCATAGTATTCCATGGTGTATATGTACCACATTTTCTTTATCCAGTCTATCATTGATGGGCAAAATTTGGGTTGGTTCCATGTCTTTGCTATTGTGAATAGTGCTGCAATAAACATATGTGTGCATGTGTCTTTATGGGAGAATGATTTACATTCCTTTGGGTATATACCGAGTAATGGGATTGCTGGGTCAAATGTATTTCTGGTTCTAGATTCTTGAAGAATCGCCACACTGTCTTCCACAATGGCTGAAGAATGACAGGACAATGAGTCCTTGTCCTCTTTTGGAGTTATAACCACGGCTTTCTGGTTTTAAGACAGTGGACATACAACGGATGGCACTACTCTATCTTTGTTGGAACTGGAAGTCCATCCTGTACTTTTTCTTACAATTATGCAAGAAGAAATCTTTTTTACATATTTACCTATGCAGTCAGCATCATCTTTACCAATGCTTTTTATTCCTTAGCATAGATTCATATTTCTATCTGGTAAGGTTTTCCTTCTGTCTAAAGTACTCCCCTTTAATGTTTCTGGTACTGCAGGCTTGTTGGTGATGAATTCTTTTAGTTTTGGCATATCTTTTTTTTTTTTTTTTTTAATGAGACAGGATCTCACTGTCGCCCAGGCTGGAGTGCAGTGGCACGATCTTAGCTCACGGTAGCCTCTGCCTCCTGGGTTCAAGTGATCCTCCTGCTTCAGCGCCCCCTCAAGTAGCTAGAACTACAGGTGCAAACCACCATGCCCAGCTACTTTTTATATTTTTTGTAGAGGTGGGGTCTCGCCATGTTGCTCAGGCTGGTCTTGAATTCCTGAGCTCAAGCAATCTGCCCACCTTAACCTCCCAAAGTGCTAGGATTACAGGTGTAAGCCACTCAACCTGACCGTTTTTGTATATCTTAAAAAGTCTATTTTATCTTCCTCTTTGACAGGTATTTTCACTCTGCATAGACACTATGTGGACAGTCTCTCAGTATTTTAAACATGTTTCTCCACTGTCTCCTTACTTGCATTATTTCTGATGAGACATCTGCTGTTACCTTTACTACTGTTCCTCGTGCACAATGTGTCCTCTTTCTATTATTTTAAGATATTCTCTTTGTCACTGCTTCTGGAAAGTTCGATTCTGCCTTGGCCTGGTTTTCTTCACGTTTCTCGTGCTTGGGATTCATTGAGGTTCTTTTGGGTCTGTGGGTTTACTGTTGTAATCCAATTAGGAACATTTTTGGCCACTGTTGTTTCAGTTATGTGTTTATTAGGCTGCTTGGATTTTTCCATGACTCACTGATGCTCTGTTTTTTGTTTGGTTTTTATTTTTGAATTCTCATTCTTCTGTGTTACATTTTGGATAGCTTCTATTGCTGCCTTCCAATTCACTAGTCTCGTCTTACGCAATGTCTGATCTGCTGCTCATCCCATTCCACATATTTTTTATCACTAGATGTTTAATTTGTGCCTTACTTGTACCTTTCATGTCTCCCCCACAGTTACAAGGACTGTTTCAATGCTCTAATAGTAACATTGAGTTCTGGGTATATTTTAAGTCTTCAGTTTGTTTTTCCTCCTCATTATGGGTCTGTATTTTCCTACTTTTTTGCATGCCTGATAATATTCAGTTGTATGCTAGGCATTGCTGATTTTACTTTGTCAGGTGGTGAATATTTTTGTTTACTTGTAATTATTCTTGGGGTTTGTTCTGGGATGCAGTTAAGTTAGTTGGAAACAGTTTGATCCTTTCAGGCCTTTCATTTAAGATTTGCTAGGTGGAACCGGAGTGTTTGGTTGCTCCCGCTACTGAGGCAAGACTCTCCTGTGTACTTTACCCAATGCCCAAAGGATTATGAAGTTTTCAATCCTCGCTAATGGGAGTACTCTTCCCAGCCCTCTGTGAGATTAAAGCGCTGGTCCCTCCAATGCTTTTGGATGATTCATTCCCTAGTCCCAGGTAGTTCACTCACATGAAGCACTGATCAGTATTCTGACTTGTCCTGCTACCCACTGAATCTGGATTTAAAGTCACTGCTCAGAACAGAAAACAAAAAACACACACCCTAGAAGGGCATCCTTGAAACGCATATGAACAGGCCGAGTCTGGAGGATGAGAGAATAGAATTTTATTTGCTTTCTCCCATTAGCCTATTAGAATAAATTGCTTTATCAGGTGGTCAAACGGTTACATAGTCTGAGAGGTCAGCAAGCAACTAACCACCTACATTTGACATTGTTTCGTTTTCTACAAATATCTGTGTATAGCAGTGATTAACAAACTTCACATATAGCCCCCCGGGTATCCTTGTTAAAAACACAGATTTCTAAAGTTTGGCAAAATATTGAAAATTATTGAATTTAAATTATGGGTACATGGGGGTCTATATATGCTTCTATTTTTGTGTAATGTTTGAAACTTTCTACAATAAAAAGCTTAGAAGAAAAACAAAATATATGCATTGATTTATAATTCCTGGGCCTCTATGCCTACAACCTGCTTTAGCATCTCTGAAATGGGATGCAGGAATCTGCTCAGATGTCCTAGCTCGGGTGGTCCTTGGGCTACATTCTGAGAAACACTGGTACACTCACTGTTAAGTGACTCATTTTTTTTTTGTCTTAGTTATCTTTATGGTTGCTCTTTTCTCAATGAAGGTATTATCCAGGGACCGCCAGCCTGTAATGCTCAAATAAATGAGCACTCCCTTCTCAGCCCACCAAGCTCTTACCTGAACAGCCTCTGGAGGAGTGGGATCCTTGCAACCAAAATGATAAAAATGGAACTCTCCTCCAGTCAAAGCAGCAACCTCTTTCAAAAACCTGTTTGCAATCTCATCGTTGTAGTTGAAGGAGATGGTATAAATAGGAATTTCCTGAAAAACTCTGACCTGGTCTATAACCATTTCAGGCGGCTGAAACGATAAGTTTTGGGGAGGGGGGGAAGGGAGATGGAAAGAGAAGAAGAGAAAGAAAAGAATATGAAAATCCTTAGTATTTACTACAGATACCCAAACAGTAATTCCGTATACAGTGGTGAGTGGCTCCTTATAAACATGTCGATTCAATTCAGTAAACAAAGAAAAGACTCTGCCAGATGGTGAGAGTACAGTGATCTACAAGACATGGGCCTTGACTCGGAGGTCTCTCAATTGGGTGGGACAAAGAGGCTAGGAGAAAGATCTGGCTAACCAAGTCACTCGACTTTAGGTGCGCCTGAACTTAGAGTCCATGCGTGCAAAGTGCTGGGCTGCAAAAGAGCAATTTCCAGCCTCCAGCATGCTATGGTCAGCGCTTCCCACAGACAGTGAAGGAAGACATGCTTGTTGAAGGCCTTCCCATGTGCTGGGCGTTCATCTTAGAAGCTGAAGAAAGCAGGCAGGCTCTGTGAGGCATGGATGAAGGCGTCCCAGAGCTGAGAGAGGCTTCTTCACTGTACACGGGAGCTAGACAGGGAGCGGGCCCACCACTCCACAGCCCAGAGAAGCTGCTGGAATGAGTGATGGAAAGGGGCACGGTTAGGCAGTCTGCGGTGCTGAGAGGTTTGCTTCAACTTTCTGAGTCTGCTCTTCAAAGCTCTGAGGATATAAACCAGCAAAAGGACTCCTCAGTGGGGAGGGACAGGAGGACAGGAATGGCTGTTTCCCATTGCAGGGATGGAGCTCCCTCTGCCACTAAGGGGCACCCCCACCCTCTGCCCAGCCCCCAGCACCATCCTGGGCCACTTGAACATCATGCCAGTTTAATATGAAGGAACCACCTGAGACTGGATGCAGGTGTGGGGCTTACAGTGATACACACGACAGTCTCGCTCGCTCACGCTGTCTTCAGCTGTATGGAATGATGGAAACAGCTCCAGAACTAGAGACCTGGGCTTGACACTCATCCAGCACTGCCCATCTGAATGGCCTAGGGCATGTCCTGTCTAATGTGAGTTTCCTCATCTGTGGCTCAGAACTAATACTCCCTCCTTACAGGACTGCTGTGAGGAGTAAATGAGATGATGTTCCCTAGAAAGCATTCCACAAATATTTGTCGAGCATATTTGCCAGGTGCTGCTGTCAGCCTAGGATAAGGTCAAGTGGCACACCTGAGCCACTTTCCCCAGTTCCCTGTGCTCCGAGTCTAAACAGCTGTGCAGCCAGGGCTCCACACACATCAGCTGTGCAGCCTTTCTCCACACACATCAGCTGTGCAGCCTTCCTCCACACACATCAGCTGTGCAGCCAGGGCTCCACACACATCAGCTGTGCAGCCTTCCTCCACA